ATATATATATTATATATATATATTATATATTATATATATATATTATCGTGCTACGCACTGATTGCTTGAGTGATAGAGATCAAGTCTGATTTCGATGAAGTCTACGAGGAGCTGTAGGCTGTCTTTAAGAGTTTCTTTAGGTACATCTTCCCAGTCTTTGGAGTGTATATCTGGCCAAGCACAGCAAACAGCTTCATGCCAAGCAGCACTTCTCTCTGCTGCAGGCTTTGTTATGTTTGCTGCTGTCTCCTTTCTTTCGCTTCCTTCCTGCTGCTGCAACGTGCAGCACAATGTACCTTTTACACAAGAATTCAATGTCGGGATCGTCTCCTCCCGCTCCCGGGGATCGTCTCCACCAGATTGCGCACAAGCACCAGCGCGCGCAGCGCTATTCAGGGCTCCTTCTGGAGCAGCAGCAGCAGCAGCTGCTGCTGCAGAAGCAGCAGCTGGGGCTGCAGAGCCGTTCTCCTGCTCCTTGGTGCGCTGTGCCTTTTGGGGTGTCTGCCGCAACTCCTCAGGAGCCTTCTGTTCAGTTTGCTGCTGCTGCTGCTGATGCTTTTGCTGCTGCTGCTGCATTTTCTGCTTTTGCAGTTGTTGCTGCTGCAGCAGCTGCTGCTGCTGCTGCTGCTGCTTTTGCTGCATGCGGACGCGAGACAGTTCTTCTGTATGTTGACGGTGGGTGCTGGCGAGTGCATCTCGGAGTTGAAGAGTTTTTGTTAATTCTTCTGCTGCACTTTGAGTGCGAGCATCGCATGCATTGATTTCTTCACGGAGGGCACGTAGTGCTGCACTCGCTGCAGCAGCAGCTGCAGCAGCAGCAGCAGCAGTTGCTGTTGTTGATTTCGAGGCACCGTCAGGCCCTTGGCATGGCTGGCTAAAGATTTCGTCTGCGCGGGCGATGCTGAGAACTGTCTGAGGCTCCCCCTCTGCTGCTGCTGCTGCTGCTGCTGCTGCATCTCGCTGCTGCAGCAGAGCTGCTTGCCGCGAGGCTTGCTGCTGCCGCAGCTCCGTAAGCTGCTGCAGGTGTCTCTCCAGATGTCTCTGATTCTCCTGCAGCACTTCTAGCTGAGATGCTTCTTCTGCTATTTTCCTCGATAGAACAGCAGCTGTCTCCTCTGCTGGTGTTAGGGGCCGGGCAGAGGTCCCTGGGAGGGATGGCTTGGGGCTGCTTTGCTGCTGCTGCTGCTGCTGCTGCTGCTGCTGCGTTTGCTGCTGCTGAGACGTAGCAGCTGTCCCTTCGGAAGCAACAGGAGACGCCAGCTGCTCGGCTGAGCTGCTGCCGTTGCGGGGCCCCTCTTCGCGCGCAGCATCAGCACTTCTCTCATTTTTTTCTGCTGCTGCTTCTGCTGCTGCTGCTGCTGCTGTCTTCTTATGGTTTGCTTCTTGGCAGCTGCCGCCTGAGGCACGTTTAGAGGGCTGGCGCTGCAGCGGGGAGACGTTTTGCTGCTCCTGCTGCAGCGCCCCCACGACTTGCGAGACAACCTGTTGCTGCTGCGGCTGCTGTTGCTGCTGCTGCTGCTGCTGCTCTACTACATTTGCTTCCGAGAGCAGCGCAGCAAGCAGAGATGCCTTGGGAGGCAGGAACGGAAACAGCAGCAGCGACAGCACCTTCAGCAGCTGGGCGAACTCCAGCAGCCCTAAACCCCTGCGGCTGTCTTGAAGCTGTGTCTGTCTCCTCATTTGCTGCAGCTGCTGCAGAAAGAGATAGTCTAAGTCTGCTAAAGTCATGCGTCTCTTCCGATTGAGGCCCCCCAACGAGCAGAAACTGCTGCTGCTACTGCTGCTGCTGCTGCTGTTATGCTTACCAGGACAAACAGCAGCACGACGGCTTCCAGGGGGCCCCCGAGCCACCCCCAGTCTTGCTGCTGCCCCCTCAGGTGTCTCCTGCAGCAGCAGCAGCGAGGAGGCGCTGGCGCTGCGGGAGACAGAGACAGACCGTGCTGCCTTGCGAGGCCCTGCTGCTGCTGCTGCTGCTGCTGCTGATCCTGCTGCTAAAGGGGGGGGAGGCGGACGAAAGGAAGTAAAAGGAGGTTGTGGGGTCCCCCCACGCGACAGCCGAGATGGAGACTGTGCAGCGGAGACATACACCTGAGGAGACAGGTGCAGCACAAGCAAAACAAAAAAAACTATTACTCTTGCTGCTGCTGCTGCTGCTATTGCTGCTGCTGCATGTGCTGCTGCTGCTGCGTACAATGGGCTTCTAGCAGTTCGGCGGAGTGGCAAGGATGAGCAGAAGAAGGTAAAGCAAGGGTTTAGGGTTTAGGGTTTAGGGTTTACTTTGCGTAGTAGGTCTAAGACTTTGATTTGCTCGCAGACCTCCGCCCATCTATTTCTTTCTAACCAAATCTTCTGAGGGAACCCGACTAATCTTTCAAATAAAAATTGCACTCTACGAAATAACTCAGTCTCCGCAGCAAATGCTGCTGTCTCTTGCTGCAGGTCTAGCCAACAACCTTGAGGCTGCAGCTCTTCTGCAGGGAAGGGCTTTAGTATATCCTAAGATATAAACAACAAACGCAGACAGAGACAGCTTAATAAAGAAACACATACTTGTAGTGGGGGGGAGTGTAAGTAGAGACAGAGACAGAGACAGAGATAGAGACAGAGATATGCAGAGATAACAGCAGCAGTACAGAGGTCTCTATATAAATTGTCTCTAACTGCAACAGAAAGGAGACAGCAACAGCGGTGTCAAGAGAAGGCAGAGGGAGACAAGCAAAGACCAAAGGAGACAGATACACCGCAAGGAAAGACATAAGAGAAAAAAAGAGACAAACAGTAGAGACCCAAAACAGCAGCAAGACACATAAATAGAAAGATAGCGACGCATGCATCAATATATATATATATAGATAGATAGATATAGATATTGCTGCATACGTATATATAGTCGCACATTCAAATACACACATATATGTGGAGACATATAAATATATATATAAGGAGAGGAGACAGAAGAGAGAAGAGAGAACGGGGAGACCAGCGGTAGAAGGAAGAGACAAAAAGGATCAGCAGCAAACAAGAGACAGTACTAAAAGACGAAGATGAAGTGCTTTAATTACCCTATGCAATTTTGTATAAGTTGTCTTTACAAGAGCTGCACCCTTTTTAGGGATTTGTTTGTCTTTCCTTAAGAAGGGTCTGAAAGGCCCCTGACGTTTTTGTCTAGAAGCACTTCTTTGTTGTTCATAGGTGTTTGCAGCTGCATGCATTTTATCTCGCTGCTCTGCTGCAGCACCTCTGCTGCCGCTGCTGCTGTTGTGCTGCAGCAGCTGCTGAGGAGACAGATAAGAAGTACGTTGCACACGCAACCCTAATACATTGAGGCACTCTAAGCACTTCTCCATCTCAATAAAAGCGACGTCTTTCAGCTGCTTATCAGTGCTTCGGGGGCCCCTTTGGTCTCCTCCATCTGAGTCAGAGCCATCCCCTGCAGCAGCAGCAGCAGCAGCAGCTGCTGCTGCTGCTGCTGGTCGCCTTGCAGTCCCCTCAGACCCGCTCTTCAAACGACGACCAACCGCCCGCACACCGGAACCTGTGGGGGTCTTTGCTGCTGCTGTTTCCTCTCCTGGTGCTGCTCCTTTTGCTGCTGTTGCAGTAGCAGATGCTGTGGCTGCCTTGGGCAGTGCTAGCGGTGGCTGCGGCTTCCGGGGCTGTCTTGCAGCAGCAGCAGCAGCACCAGGGGTTGGGGTTGCTGCTGTGCAGGAGGCAGTGTCGCTTGCTGCTGCTGGTGTTTTTGCTGCTATGCTCTCCGTGCTTAAAGACCTCCGGAGGCTCCGTTTATCCCTTGAGAGACGACGAGTCTCTGCTAGGGAGGCGCAGCGTCGCATGGGAGACGATCCCGACGATCCCAACACAGTTGTGGGGTGGCGCTGGGGGCCTCTTGGGGGCCCCCCAACCGGCAGATCTTTGATAGGCAGAGGCGGCTGCAGAGAAGCAAAGGAGACAGGAGACAGACAGTAAACAAATGCAGCGAAAGGAGACAAAATAGACGACAAGGAGACACCCAGGGCACTCGAGAGGAAGAGAGATAGCAAAAAAAGACAAGTATATATAACAGCATGGGACATCTTAAAGCATTACACCCGTGCACCTGTCCGCTGCAGGTAGGGCTCCAATTGCTTGCTGCAGCAGCAACAACAGCAACGAGACTAGCAGCAGCAACAACAGCAACGAGACTAGCAGCAGCAGCAACAGCAGCAGAAGCAGCAGCACTTACTCCAGCATTTATTTGGGGGGTACGAGTTTGCTGCTGATCGGGCCCCGATGAGCTGCTGCTGTGGTGTACAGACACCGCGTTGGTTTGTGCTTGAAGGCTGTCTTTTCCTTTGTGCTCAGCTGCAGGTAGGCCTCGACGCTTAGTCTTTTGGGGTTTATTCAGAGAAGGAGGCTGAGTTGCTGTATTCCGTCTAGCAGTACCTTTTCCTGCTGCTGTTCCTGCTGCTGCTCCTGCTCCTGCTGCTCCTGCTCCTGCTGCTCCTGCTGCTGCTGCTGCTGCTGCTGCATTGGTGCGTTCTTCTGTCTTTCTCTTTCCTTTCTTCTTCTCTGAAGGAAGCAACAGCTTGCTAGCTATAGCGAGGGCTTCGCTGAGCACGGGCTCTTTAATAGCTCTGTCCATTGCACTCTCTAGCTGCAGATCGATGCCGTCTTCCTGCAGCAGCAGCAAAACAAAGAGAGAAACAAAATAATAAAATAAAATAATTATATACGCACCCCTCTCGCTTCAACGTTCTCTGCTGATGCTTCAGCAGACACTAGAAAAAAGTAAACCCTAAACCCTAAACCCTAAACCCTAGATAGGCACCTGGCAATCGAAGTAGTCGACTCGTAGGGAAGGGTTTGAATTAACTTCGAGCAGCCAGCATTTGTCATCTGCGTCTAAGAGAATATCAAGCCCTAGGAACTGAAAGCAGCGAGACCTTTGCTGCTGCTGCTGCTGCTGCTGCTCCCCCTGATAGACGTGCCTATAGCGCAGCTCAAGCCACGGCTGGAGACACACAAATGTCTTTGCTGTTATTTCTTTTATACTCTTCCACACCTTATCTACATCCACTCCTGCGGCATCAGCAAACAAACAATGCAGCAGCAATAGACAGCAGCAGCAGACGAAACCAGCCGCAAACAGCTGCAGCTGCAGACAGCAGCAGCTGCAGCAGCAGATACCACCAAGGAAGAAGACGGCAAGCAAAGAAACCGCTACAGCAACAGCTGCTAGAACAAACAGCAACTGCTGCAGCACGAGTACGAACTGGAACAGCAGCAGCAGCAAAACAGGAGGCAGCAAGAGCAGCAACAAGGGCAAGCTCAGCAGCAGCAGCGCACAACAGCTACCACAAAAGCTGCAGCGGCAGCAGCAGCAGGAGTTTCTTGCCTTCTGCTTTGAGGTCTTTGAAGACATCGGATAGGAGCCGTTTGCTGTTGGAGGTGTTGTGTATATCTGGAGAGCGGATGAAGAGCTCTTTGTTTTCTTTATTTATTGAATAATTTGTTAGATGCATAAATGCATTATTTTGATTGCGACGTGTGGGAGAACGATATTCATCCGTGCAAAACCGAGCCATACCCACGCGCGAGACGAACACCTGCACCCAAACAAAGCCCCAAAAAGCAATGCATGCAAGCTTTTCCCTGCATGCAAGCATACACTCCAATACTGCATGCATGCATGCATACACTCCAATACTGCATGCATGCAGGCATATATACATGCATGCATTTAAATACTGTAAGCATGAATACACTCCAATACTGCACGCATGCATGCATATATGCATGCAAACGAGCAAATGCATGCATGCTCCTGGGGGGCTCTGGAGTCAGGGGAAGTTTTAATAGTGCAGCTCAAACGTGCATGCACAAGATAGACAAAGGTCCTTGGTGCTGCCTGCACGCATGCAGCACCACGAACATCAAACGCATGCATGCATGCATGCATGCATGCATGCGTTTGTATGTACCTTGAGGGTGCCTGCAACGGCGAAGACTGCAGCATAGACTCGTAGATCGAATTTTCGTTTATTAAGAAGGCGCGGGTGGCTGATATATTTTTGAATAATGTAACTTCCTTCTCCTCTCCAGATTACACTGTCTATATCTTTTAGGCGAGATACGAGCTGCACGCCGCTACCCATAGCTCCTCCATCAGGTTTTATTATATATGTTTCCGACTTAGAACTCTGCAGTATCTCCTCTATGCGAGCTGCAACACATAACAGCAACAGCAGCAGCAGCAGCCAGTAACAGCAGCAGCACGAACAGCAACAGCAGGACACGTTAATTTAAAACATCAGCTGGGCACCAGCAGCAACAGCAGCAGCAAAATCAGCAGAAGCAACAAGAAGAACAGCAACCAGACGAACAACGAGAACAGCAAGAGCAGCAGAAGCAACGGCACCACCGACAGCAACAGCAACAAGAACAGCAGCAACAGCAGGAACAACAAGAACAACAAGAACGGCAGCAGCAAAAAGAACAGCAGCAGCAGCAACATCAGCAAGAACAGCAGCAACAAGAACAGCAGGAGCAGCAACACCAACAAGAACAGAACATAACAGCAGCAGCAGCAGCAGCAGCAGCAACAGCATCTAACCTCTGTCTTCAGGGAAGGACCAGCATGGCGGGGAGAAGTCATAGAGGTGCGGGAAGAGGTCTTGATAAAGATGCAGCACTTTAGAAAGCATTCGTTTCTTTGTCATATCCCACATACCCGGAAATCGGTTTACTATTTGTGCACTTCGAACAAACAGCAGATGGTCGTAGTCCGGCACCGAACCACCCAGCCATATGATGTTTCCTGAGGTGTACGTACACCGCAATACGCAAACAATATATGCATAATATATATATATATATATATATATATATATATATATATATATATATATATACATATATATATATATGTATATATATGTATATAGGCTAAGAGACAGCAAAACAACCTCCAAACATATAAGAAATCGGGTACATCACTTTTCTCACGCTGCTGCTACTGCTGCTGCTGCTACTGTTGCTGCTGCTGCTACTATTGCTGCTGCTGCTGCTACCGATATTATTGCCGCTGCTGGTACTGCTACTGCTACCGCTGCTCTTGCTGCTGCTCTTGCTGCTGCTAGTACTGCTGCTGCTGCAGTTGGTGCTGCTCTTGCTGCTGCTGCTGCAGTTGGTGCCTAACCTTTGTTTGTGGTTTGATCGTCGCGGATCCAGCCGAGTCTTTCTACGCAAGTGTTTATTAGGGGCCTCTCTGCTCTGCATTGTTTTGTATTAACAACAACTTCACGAAGTAAGCCTTCTGCTGAGGTATTTATTACAAAGTCTTCCGCCCACAAGCAGTCTCCTTCTGTCTCATCTTCATCTGGACATGTCTCCTCTTCGTCTTCCTGCTGCTCGCCCTGCTGCTGCTGCAGCTCTGGATCTGTAGCAACACTAGCGAGTTCGGCTAGCTGCTGCTGCTGCTGTTGCTGCTGCTCTCTCCATTCTATATACCTGGGGACCAGCACCTTGATGTATCTCTCTTCTGTCTCTGTTTGCGTCTCTTGCTGCATTTGTTCTGCATCTGCCTCCCCTACAGAGTTAAACTCAAGTGTCTCTTCGCTGCTGTCTTCTGTCTTATGCTTCCCTTCTTTCTCCCCTCTCTCTGTCTCAGTCTCTGTCTCCGCCTGTGTCTCCGCCTCCTTCGCGGCACCCTCTTCAAGCAGCTCTGCATCAGCAGCAGTACCAGTAGCAGCAGATGAGAGCTGTTTTTTCAGTCCCTCCTTTGCAGCTGTCTCTTCTCTGTCGCTGCTATCGCGCGCAGAGAAAGCTGCTGTAGAGACAAAAGATATATCTCTGCTATTGGGGCTCCAACTGGGGGCTTCCTGTCCTTTGAGGGGCCCCTTTAAGGAACATCTCTGTCTCTTCTCTTCATCTTTCTCTCCTCTTGCCGCTACAGACAAACACCGATACCCCCTGTCTCCTTCTGCTGCATTTGCTTCCCTAGCTCTTTGTGCTGTCTCTCGTCCCCTTAACAGAGTTGAGCCAGTAGACGCGCGGCTCCACCCAATACCAGGGGCCCCCAATGGGGCCCCCAGAGGGGCCCCCCGAGGGGCTCCCAATGGGGTCCCCAGAGGGGCCCCCAAGGGGTTCCCCAGTGGGACCCCTGAGGCATCTGGGGGCCCTAAGGAAACCCCCTGGGGGCCCCCACGGGGGCCCCCTTGAGAAGAACGACAAGAAGGCGGCTGACCTATGCAGGCATTTGATATGAAGAGAGCAGCTGTCTCCTGTGCTTGCCACAGATTTGGAGGGTTGTGTCTCTTTACTGCAGCAGAGACAGAAGGGACTGCAGCAGAAGCAGCAGCAGCAGCAGCAGCTGCTGCTGCAGCGGGCAATTCACCATTCAATTCTGCTTCGCGTGAGGGACCCTTTGCAGACCAACTTGGGTCTGAGCATTCATTTTGGAGGGCGCCAAACGGCTTCTGCTGCTGCTTCTGCTGCTGCTGCTGCTGTTGTTGTTGCGCGTTTGCTGCAGCCGCTGCTGTTGCAGCTGAGAAGGCCTCCTTGAAGGGCCTTTGCAACTCATTGGTAACAGCCTGGGGCTGAAGGCAGCTGTGGTGCTGCTGCTGCTGCTGCACCAGCTGCCGCTGCTGCATGACCTGGTGCTGCCTTCGCAGCATTTGCTGTTGCTGCAGCAACTGATGCTGCTGCAGCGTTTGTCGTTGCCGCTGCAGCACCTGCTGCTGCTGCTGCTGCTGCTGCAGTAGCTGCTGCTGCTGCTGCTGCTGCACTTTGTCTCCACCTTGCCACAAGACCTCCGTAGAGGAGGGACAGGCGTAGACACCCCCAGCAGAACCAAAGCCCCTAAAGAGAGATTGCTGCAAAACACCCGGGTGCATCTGCTGCAGCTGCTGATGCTGCTGCAGATTCTTCTGAGTAGATGTTAGCAAACATACAGATGGGGGGCCCCTAGAACTGAGCAGCTTGTGAGGCAGCAGAGGTGCCCCTAAAGGCCGAAGAGGAGGCCCCCAGCAGCCAACTGTCTCCAAGGAAGGGGGCCCCAGAGGCTTCGTGGCTCTATCTGCATGAAAAGGAACTCCCTGTTGCAGCAGTTGCTGCTGCTGCTGCTGCTGCTGCTGTTGCTGCTGCTGCTGCTGTTGCTGCTGTTGCTGCTGCTGCTGCTGCTTTGCTGCCTCATGCGCCATTCTTAAGACGATGGGCTGACCATTGGTGTCCCAGCCACATACTGGAAGATGCCCCGAGAGGTAGCCCGCAGTAGGAGCTCCTCCTACTCCCTGCTGCTGCTGCTGTTGCTGCTGTTGCTGCTGTTGCTGCTGCTGCTGCTGGTAGAGGGCCCTCCCGCTGGGGAGCCTCATAGGCATATTTAGAGGCATACGAGGGGGCGAGGCAGCATTTGAAAGAAACGGCTGCAGATGCTGTGGTAGATGCATCATACCGCCGAAGGGGAGGGGCCCCTGGGGGCCCCCCACGTTGCTGTAGATGCCATCCCTATGGCTTCCTTTCATCTCAGACTCAACTGCAGCAACAAACGCAGCAAATGCAGCAAATGCACCAAGCGCAGTAAGTGTAATAACTGAAGAAAGACGCCAGTCTTCAGTAGATTCTTTTCTAGGGGTTTCCCCCTGGGGGTTCGGGCAGATTTTGGGGTGTCTATGACTGCCTATTTATTGTTAAGTTTGCAGACTGTTGAGATGAAGATATATTTAGGTGTAAGGAAGCTGCAAAGGAAAACTAACTCTTTCTTTCGGTGCACTGGTTCTGTACTGAGTGGGCCCTCAAGCAACTTCTTTGTGCATTTAATCTTGTGTATTAAGAAGTAAAGACTAGATGAGTTGTTGTGTGCGTTGGATTAAGGCCTCAGGTGTACGTACACATACTCCTGAGCCGTGTTGAAGGTTGAAGAAGTGTATTGTTGTCTGAACGCTTACTTCCTCTGCTGATCTTGTTGTCTTGATGAATTAAAGCGGAGTAGTAAGCTGTAGATACACCTGGAAGTAGCAGAGAGAAGGTTTTGCTGCAGCTGTCTCTCGCGTTGGGCTTGTCTCTGTTTTCCTCTGTATGTATACCCCTACGGCTGCGCGGGCGGGGTGCTGAAGCGAGTATTTCGGGTTCAAAACAAATCAATTAAACTAAAATAAATCTGCAAAAGAGTAAAAAGAAGAAAATATTAAGCAATCAATATGCGCAGCAACCTGTAGAAAGCTGTAAGGCCCTCCAGCGCTCGGTAGACCTCAAGCGAAGAACAGGCTTGTAGCTGAGGCATATGCGTTGTATAAACGTTATAAGAAAACAAGAAAATTACTTTATTTTACTTCATTACAGATGTTTTAAACTATTTTTATTGGAATCTTGAATAATTAAAACAAGTTCTCCGATTTTTATGAAGAAGATAGACATCTACAGCAATGGGCAGGCCACCGGTCGGCTGGTGCTGTTGGAGCAACGTCTGCAGGCTCGACGGTATGCGCGTATAATATATAATATATAGATATGTTTCTAAATGAAATTTATATTTATTCAATCTTGTTTTTAAATTAATCTCTTTGTTTTTATTCTATTTTTAGTTCCTTTTTCAGCAGTACACTCAGCAAAACCCAGCTAGAACTACAACGAACTCAAGGGCCCTCCAGACCCCTGCAGCGATCGCCTTCGTCACCAGAGGAAGCCAGTAAGAAATATATGCTTTACAAAGAAGACATGTTGTTTTTAAATAGTTTATACAACAAAAAAACTAATAAAATATATATAGGAACCGGCAAAGCCTCCTCATATCCTCCAGTTTAACCACGAAATTTCTATGAAGTCTTTATATGCGGTATGCCCACCCCCCGCTCAAGCCGCTGTGCACGCTGCTGCAGCAGCAGTAGCAGCAACAACAGCAGCAAAATTCATTTTGCTAGGCATCTATTTATCTTTATTCAATATCTATTTGAGACAGCAATAAAGACAGGAGAACAGGAAGCTCCGCGCCTCTTCGGTTACCGGGGGTTATGTCTCGCCCTCATATATATTTATATCGTCATGTCTCAGTCTGCTTCTGTCTTTATTTGCTTGTAAATGCTTGTCCTTATGTTGTCTCCTCTGTATCTCTCTCTGTCTGTCTAACTATTTGCCTTCGCGTCTTCCGCTTTCTGCTTGTCTTGTCTCTCCTCACTTGGTTATTGTTCTACCTCTGCCTGTCTCTGCTAGCTTGCCCATTGCTTGTCTGTCTACCCATTATATATATGCATATATGCATATATATATTTATATTTATATTTATAAAGAGCCTCAAGAACCTACGTAGATCCAAGTAGGTGCAGCCCAAGAGAAAGAAGCTGTCTCACTATACTTTGCTGACAGAAGCCGCTGTACACGCAGTCTTCACAAGACATCTACGCTTCTACAGCAGAAACAGCAACAAGTATATCCCTTAAGTTAATTATACACCGCAGAGTAATTCAACGCATGGAATGATGCATACTTTTCATTTCAACCCTCGTTAAATGCTTTTACTCTTCATTGGCCCAATAGAAGACAAAACCACAGCATAGTAGAGGCATTCCCCAGATAATATATATATATATATATACATATGTACATATGTATTATATATATATGGCATATACATACATATATATATATATGTATACATATATATATATATATACATACATATATATATATATATATATGTAAATTTATATATATCCTGGGGTTTCAGTCATCAGCCTCTCCATTGTGTGCGTAGGCTCAGCCCCCAACCTGAATTTGTCAAAAGAGAGAAAAGAGGTGCTTGAAGTACAGCCTCTGGCGAGTGCTCGGCCCAGTTGCTGCTTGTCCTGAGATCTATAGAACGTAGAACCTTCATAGAAGTCACATTGAAAGGAGCTTCTCATGCAAATGCGCTGCAACACATGCAAGGCCAGCGCTTATACGCAGCCCCAGGGTTTTGTTAGACTGTGCGCAGCATGCGTAGGGGCTAAAGACTGAAGCCCCCATTAGCTGCTTCTGGGAAGCGCTTATCCTAAGTGTGTCGCCCTTAGTGAAACTGACGACTGTCCCTGGCTAGGACGGAGAACTCTTAGTGCATTTGTTGTAACTAATGGTTATGAATGGTAGAGGAAATGGGGAAACTCCACGTCTACAGCTGGGTGGCTTTCTGCATACCCTTGATTACTTTTGAAGGAGTTTCATCAGAACAGAGAGGGGAATAACAGAATTTTTTGATATTGTCTTATCTAAAGACAATATATCTATAGATGATATGTCAATAGCTCAGCAGATTAGAGATTCACAAAGGCTTGCTCTCGGTTAGGAGGGAAACAACGGCTGGGAGCCTCTTACCATTTCAACTTGTGCAGCAACAGCATCCTGTAGAGACGAAACGGTTGATGCAACAAAACACATTCTTTAAGCACACCTCCGGTTCTGCTTACCTTCCAGATATGGGGTGCAGTGGAGTGGTTTCATCCTTCTCCGAAGGTTGCTAGTTTTTCGAACTTCTAAAGAACAACACTTGCTAGTGGCATTTCCCCTTTTACAAAGATGACGATGGAGGTTATATATAAGCGTGAGTACACTTTTCCCCTGCAACACATCTTGAATATAGCAACTTTCTGAGATGTGCTGTCGCGTATGTGCAATGTGCAAGGGTGGGAGTCGGTGATGAGATAAAAATACTTCCATCGAAGAGAGAAAAAAGTCACGGCCACTGCCCTAGCTGAACAGGAAGAAAAAAGGTTTATGGAGTTGTGGGTTGTGTGCTGGCTAGCAGGCCCAAGAAAAAGATAGAAAACAAGGACAGAGGACAGCCGGCGAATTGCGCACACAGAAGGACGGAAAGGAGTATACAGTGACGGGCTTGCTTCTTCTACAGCGCGAAACTCCGCCCAATTCGATATTGCAGATGCATTAAAGGGGCTAAGGAACCAGAAGAGAAAGGCTTTTAGCAGCTTCTACAGGAGAGCCAACAGAATGATCGGCAGAAAGCCCCGAGGAACGAACAGGGATATCAGGATACACAGGGAAGCTGCAGAAGCAGCAAAGAGATAAGGTTTCCTGGAGGCAGTCACCACCCAGCGACAGAATACAATGGAGAACAGGAACAACATCGAATACATCCTGTTCCGCTTGCTCTTTCGCTAGCTCTTTCCGTTGCATCTGGCCGCTTGCTCTCCGTTTTGGTGCTTGGCCAATTTTGAAATGTACGGACTACCCAACGCTAAGATCGTTATGATTTAGGAAAGTCTGCGGTGTATCTGTAGCTGAGGCCTTAAAGTTAATTGGACGGCTACTCTTCATATTGCTCATGCTTGTCATTGTCAAATGGCATGTGAGGTTAGTACACGCTTTATACTTGCGCTCAGCCGGGAAATTGACGATTGAAGAAGTGCCTAACGGTTGTATGCAGCGTTAATGCGTGTACCAAGGGGTTTAGCTGCGGTTGTACGTGAAGTTGTCTTGTATTGCAGCATTAGCTGTAGCTCATGACCGCCCCCCTCCCCTTCATATTCCCTGGACATATCTGGGGTAAACGGGAAATCATGCGGATTTGGGAGGTCTATTTTTATAGATCTTTCGACTCCGTCGCTGCTTGCGACAGTCCTCACCGAAGACAGGTTTCTAGCTAATGCTGTGGCACCTGCACAGTGGTGGAGTCCTCCGTCTCACATATGGGTAGGGAGCTGGATTCTCTGAGTTGCTTCCTATACATTTAAATGGCGCTTATTTTGCATTTGCAAGAGCATGTCCTTACCTGCTGTGCATTCTTGTTTCGGCTCCCTTCACCCTTCTGCTGAACTCGCCAGCCTTCACCGACGCGCCACCCGCGACCCACTGGCGGGATACAACGCCTGACGAACAGAACGCGATTAGAAAATGTTTTATTTGAACTGAAAATCAAAGAAGGAAGGCAACCCTACCCAAACAGCCAGAGGGGCTGCAACAACAGGCGGCGGCGCCCAGACTGAACCGGTGATGGCTGTGTGGGCGTATGGCTGGAGTATCTGCAGCTGATCTGGCATCCTTCTGCTTTTACTTGCATTGCATTTACTTTGAAACGCAAATTAAATACCGGTGAGGGGAGAAACTGCTTACAAACTCGCGGGATTCTGCCGTGAGGTCCTCCGACCGCTGCAGTCCGTCGTCGCAGCGCATGCACTTCGAGTCCGAGCGGTAGAATCTACAGTACTCATTAAATTGCATTTTTTTCAAATGAAAAGGATTGGAAAAAACGAGCGACTGGCTCAAGGCGGCTTGTCAGCCCGCCAGATTCCGCAATGCAGCCCCGCGGCACAAAGTTGAATGCGGCGGAGTGCACACGAAGAAATCTCTTTGAAACATCTCTTATTTCCGTAGTTCTGAAAATCCGCAGTAATGTCTATGGGCGCTGATGGCGACCTTGCGGGGGCCTCTGCGGGCGCAGCAGCGACGACAAGTCATGCGCATTCCGAGCTGAACGAAATCGAGAAGGAGGGCCCCCCTGCGCCGCATCCGACAGCGGTGACACGTCTACAGAGTCTTCGCTGTGAGGAAGGCCCACTTGCCAGTTCTCCTGCTGTTGTTGCTGCTGCTGCCGCTGATTCTGCAGGCTGCGCTTCGGAGGATGCTGGGGGGGCTGAGACGGCCCTTTCTCGGGCTCCCCAGGGGCCGTTTACCAGATGTTCTGCTTCGCCGTTATCCCGTAGCAGTTCCGGTGTGTCTGTACACCGTACCCGTTCTGCAGTCATGAGCCCCAACGCTCAGCTGGCAACAGTTAGTTACCTCGAAGCCTTCCACCAGAAGCAGCGCACCCAAGACACCCATGACTTGAGGCAGAGGCACCAGGCCTTCGACAGCCTCAAGCAGTGGCGGGGGCCCTCCAAGCTAAGCGGCTGGAGAGGGGGGGATACGACGGCGGGGGTGTCGGTGGGAGAGGGGGCAGCTGCGCGTGGACTTCCTGGGGGGGCCCCCGGGGGGCCCTTGAGACAGACAGCAGACAGAGGGTCTGCTACTGCTGCTTCGAAGTCGCGGCAGCAGCTGGTAGGGGAGATGGCGGCTTTGTTTAGCCGTCTGTGTTTGGGGGAGGAGCAGCGTGTGCTTGGGGTGTATCGACAGAAGCTGGCGCGTCTCCAGAAGCAGCAGCTGCATTTGAATGCTCTTGCTGATCGATTGATTCGTTCGGCTTCTGCAACAAAGGCCAGAGGAACCCTCATCAAGGAGAGATCGTTTCAGCTGCAGCGGCAGCTGCAGCAACAAGAAGCGGCAGCAAAAGCCCCACGCAAACGAATACCAGCCCTGCTGCGCATGCCGCTGCCCACCTTGACTCCCGCATGTGCTACGCAGAAGGCGCAGCAGCAGCAGCAGCAACCGTTAGATCCCTGGCGCCGTCTGCTGCGGCGAGCAAGGCCTTCGCGTCGCCGAGCCTCCCTGCCCTCAACCGTGGGCCTCTGGGGGGCCTCCAGTGCACCTTCAGCAGCAGCAGCAGCAGCAGCAGGTGCAGCAGCGGCAGCGGCAGCAGCAGCAGGTGCTGACAGCGTAGCTGCGTCCTCCGTCTGTACAAAAGTACGAGAGCGGGGACGAGCAGGAGTGCCAGCAGCACCAGTTGGAGCAGCAGCCGAGCCCGCAGCAGCGGCAGCAGCGGCAGCACCAGCAGTAGCAGCAGCGGTATCTGCTGCATTTGAGCTGTCGGAAGCAGTAGAGTGCTTCAGTAGCAGCAGGCGCAGGAGGAGTTTGCCTAGCAGAATGGTTGACCCTTTCTTTTTTCTCCAGCGTGGGGGGCGAATGAGACGCACAGCAGAGGAGCTGCTGCAGCAGGCTGAGGCGGCTTGTGCTGCTGCTGCTGCTGCAGGCGCTGCAGCACCAACTCTTTGTCGTGGACCGCTGCTGCAGGACCTCCACTGTCTCTCCCGCACCCTCTCAGTTGAAATGCTGCAGACGCAGCAGCGGTTGCAACTGGCGGAGATGCTGCAGCAGCGGCCAGCAGCAGCAGGCAGACGGGGCTGGGAGGCAGCAGCAGCACGCCTCTGCCCGCTGCCCTTAAGGCACAGCTTCTGCGCTCAAGAGGGCCCCCTGGGGGGACCCCTAGGTTGGCCCCTAGGGATGCATGCGGAATGGGGGGTCTCTGGAATGAATGCATGCGCTAGAAGCAAAGACGTGTCCTCTAAGGTCCCCTTTCACCCTCCGGTGGCTTCTACTGCTGCCTCCATTGCTGCTGCTGCTGCTGAGGGTTCTTCAGGTGCTACCTCGGCTGCTGCTTTGGCGGCTTCTGTTGCAGCTGATGATTGTGGGGCAGCTGCAGCTGAAGGGAGCGCAAGGCAGAAGAGTGAAGCTGCTGCCGCTGGCGCTCGAGCGGCAGCAGCAGGAGAAGCAGGTGCAGCAGCAAGCGCGGCGGTAGCTGAAGCAGGAGCTGGTTCTGGGGGCGTGTGGAGCGAAGAAGACAACAGTTTACTAGAGGCAGAGACGGACTGTGAGTATTTATTGGGGCGCCAGCTGCTGCCCTATGAGCGAATGCTGCTGACATATCGCATGCTGAAGAGCAAAGGATTGGGGGTGGCTGCAGGGGCCCCTGGGGAGGCTCAGCTTATAGAGGAGCTGCTGCAGGCTGTCGGCGAGGGGGCCCCAGGGGGCCCTGGGAGCGCTTCCTTTCCTCTTGGTTCTGAGGGGCTGCCTGCTGATGAGGAGGCGCAGAGATGGGGCCCCCTTTGGACGGAAGATGCAGATACAGACGCAGCAAAAGTTGAATCCTTGCTGCTTCTGGTGCAACAGCTGCAGCAAGCAGACTTGCAGCAGCTTACACACGTGGCACGTGCAATACCCAGCAGCAGCAGCAAACGCCACATGCAGCGAGAAGAAACCTTTCTGCATGCATTCTTCGGCGAACCCTCAAACAGCTCCGAATACTCCCTTGACGCCCCACAAGGGGGGGCCCCAGAAATGCGGGGGGCCCCAGCTGGGGACCCTACTGACGCTCCGAGGACGGGGGCCCCCGGAGGGGCTTCTTTGGGGGCCGCTAAAGAAAGGAAAATGGAGGCGTCGACGCCAGGGGGGGATGTGGAGACAGCAAAGATTGCAACAGAGGCAAAGGCAGAGACAGGGAGAGAGAGAAAAACAGAAAAAGATGCAGACACAGAGACAGAAAAAGACAGCGAACAAAGAAAATTCCCTACAGCCGAGTCACTCTACAGGGCCCACTACCTGCTGGGACCGTGGCGCAGCAGTTTGATGGGGACCCCTCAACAGTTGCAAAAAAACTTCAATCCCTAAACCCTAAACCCTAACCCTAAACCCTCAGAGATATCGCGTCTTGTCCTGCGCGTTCTGCTGGGGCAGGAGGGGGCTGCAGCAGCAGCAGCAACACCGATGCCAACAGCAGCTGCAGCATTTTGTCAATGTTTTAATTAACAAATGTAGCAGACTTTAGTTCTCCCGCCCCAGGCACTGCTTGCATGCACACGAAGTAGCCACAACTTGCAGCAGCAGCAGCAGCAGCAGCAGTAAGAGTAGCAGGAACTGAAAGGCTCAACTCGTTCACCTCCTGCGGTGCACGTACACCTGACGGGATGCCGTGTGTGGGGTGTCTCCAGCACTGGTTCTGCCTACAGGCAGCATCCCTGCTACCCGTAACAAACCCTAAACCCTCGGCTAGATGTAAAAATCGTTAGCCTTCATCTAAACCCTAAACTACACCCTGACGGATGCATCTACTTGTGCTCTTGGCAGTCATCTATATAAACCCTGGAACAACGCCTCTAAACCCTAAACCTCCTCTGGCGTACCCTAACCGCCTTTAATGAACCTTCGTTGCTGCCGTGCTGTGCACGAAACCCTAAACCCTTTACAAGACAAGTTGGCAGCTGCTGTCTACAAACAGCAGCCTGAAAAAAGCAAACAGCTTCTCTGGGCGGTGTCTCCCGCTGAGGAGACAGGAGACAAGCAACAATGTCTCCTCCTGCTTAGGGGACAGAAGACCACCAGCGGGCTCTGCTGCCTCCCACAAGACAAACCCAGATAAAACAGCAGACCCTCTTTTTTTGCTTTTTGTCTCCTTGTCGCTGCTGCGCCTTCCGCGGAGACTTCTAAAACCATAGGCCCACTCTAATAAACTATAATAAACTGTATGATAACAACCTCATAATTTTCCTGCTGTTTTGTTGCTTCCTCTACCCCCCTTAACCCCGCCCTCCCCATCCGCACGTCTTCAGGTGTACGTACACCAGAGAAGGGGCGAAGAGTTGTTCTCTGCCAGCTGAAGAACTTCAACTTTTCCTTTGCTGCTGGCGCTCGTTGCCAATGCTGCTGCTACAGTTGTTGCTGCAGTTGCTGCTGCAGCGGCTTGGATGTGCTGCTGCTGCTGCTGCGCACGGGAGGCAGCAGCAGCAGCGCGGTACGAACGACCATCAAATCGAAGGATAAAGTGGAGACTAAAAAAGCGCAGAGGGAAAGGAGAGAGAAGGAAGAAGAGACTGACAAGCCCAGGCGGGCAGACAAAAAGCCACAAACGCTGCGCTCTTCTTTTTGTTCCTCTTTGTCTCCTTTCTTCTGTCTCCCGTTTTACGTATTGGTCTCCAACGGCAAAGCCCCGAGAGACAAAGGAGACAAGAAGAAGGAGACAAACAGAATAGCATGCACCACACCTTCGGTCATGCCTCAACAGACAGCACCAATCCAAATGCAGCAGCAGCAGCAGCTGCTGCTGCTGCTGCATTTGCTGCTGCTGCTGTGCAGAGCTGGGCAAGAGACCGCCAGCAGGATTGATATATCTGATGGGTGCATTTCTGTCCGTCTCCTTTTTGTCTGTCTCCGTTCCCTTATCCACCTGTGTGTCTCCTTTTGGAATCCTCTGGGCCTGTCTTCCTCCCGCGTTTATTTTTTTTGTCTCCTTTTTGTCTTCTCTTTGTCCCTCCTTATCTCCTTAAAACTGAAATAAACGCAGGCACACAACACAGCACTTCATCTTTTTTCCCTGCCTCCTTACTGGGGTGTACATGGCGTTTAGGTTGAGAACAACAAGCCCCCAATGCATGCATATGTGCATGCGCATGAAATACACTGTACATACAACTAACGTACACCAGTTTGGTACAGATGAACATGTCTCTTCCAGGTGTACGTACACTGCACTGCTGCCTGTACAGTGCGAGGAGTACAGCAGCACTACAAACAAACAAAAGGCTACAGCAATTCCTTAGTCAAGCAAGCAGAAATGTAGAGAGTACACAAAACCAAGAGGGTGTGGGGCCCCACACACACCTGCTGCCTGCCATCTGCATTGCCGTCGCTGCGGTCTCCGCCACCACTGCGCTGCTTCAGGACGGAACTGCTGCTGCCTCTGTTGTTGTTGCTGCTGCTGCTGCTGCTGCTGCTGCTGCCAGCCCCACATCCATAGCGTGCGTACACGCCACTGGCGGCGGGGACCCCTGCTGCACCTGTACTGTACATGGCTGCTGCTGAAGCACCGGCGGGAGCAGCAGCAGCAGCTGCAGGTGCTGCTGTTGTTGCGCCTGCAGCAGAAGGGTACGAAGGATACATCGATCCAGACACCCGATGCGGATGGCGCTGTTCGTGGCCAGAGGAAATGCATTGAGAAGCAGCAACAGCATCACGTCCCGGTTGCGAGGCCCCGTACGCAACGTGCTGCTGCTGCGCATACACTGCAGCGGGGGTTCCGCTGGGGGGAGAGTAGGGGGCTGCCGCTGCAGCCGTTCGCTGCTGCTGCTGCGCGTAAGTGTAGCTGCTGCTCTTGTGAGAAGTTGCAGCAGCAGGAGCAGGAGAAGGCTGCTGATAGGAGGCCGACTGGCGAGACGCGCTGTGGTGGGCATTGCCCCGGGAAGCCCCGTCCCCGGCGGCGCTGCTGCTACTGCTACTGCTGCTGCTGCTGCTGCTGCTGCTGCGGCTGGAGGGGGCAGCAGCACCCGAGCTGCTTGCAGGCTGAGAAGGCGCCGCATGTGCGTGTCGGTGGCGTCGCGTTTCTCTCTTTTTCTTTATGACTTCTTGATACACCTTTTCGCGGTAGTCCTCCACTGAATACCTGCAGCGTACGTACACCCCAAAGACAGCAAACAACAAGTGTCGGCGACCCGAAGCAGCAGCCAAGCAACAAACCTCAAAACGCACAGTGCGACGAGTCTGTTGCCGCCGCTGCTGCTGCGGCTGTTGCTGTTGCTGCGGCTGTTCCTGTTGCTGCAACTGCAACAAGTGCAGCAGCAGCTGAAGGGGCAGCCGCATCTGTAATGACCCACTTGGTGTTGTCATCAATTGGTATAGTTATGATGTGGCTACAGACGGGCTCGTCGTCGGGGTTGTGGAACTGCCGAACGTAAGGATGCTCCAACGCCTTTTCTGCGCTGTGCGTACACCCCAGCAAACAGGAGAGAGAGAAAAAAGATGATGATCAGCTACAACCAACGCGCAGCGCGGCAGCAATAACAAAGCATGCAGCAGCCACTGCAGCAGCAGCAGCAAGGAAAAGAACCAAAGAACAAGAGAGGGCCCTTTACAGGCACCATCCGCCATACACATGAAATAACACAGCGAAGGACGAGTGGATCTAGGAGAAGAAGCAATAAGGCAAATGAAAAACAAAGACAACCAGAAAACAAAGAAGGAGAATCGATTCGGGCACCCCATCACAGAGCAGGTACACAATGAGGGAAGAACGACGACACAGACGAAAAGCAAAAGAAGACAAACAAAAAAGAAACACACAGAAGCAGCAAACAAACCTTATTCGCTTCCGCGGGTTGAATTGCAGTAGCTGCCTGAGGAGATCAAGCGCCATTGGAGGGGCGTCAGGGAAGCAGTCTTCTAGCTTCCTGCAAGCAAACAGAAGAACATTCAAATAGGTTTGAACGAAGCAAAGAAGGAAGTTGTACAAAACAAACAACACACAAAAAAGAAGGACCCATATAACGCGCAAATGAAAAGACTGAGACAGGATGCTGAAGACACCAAAATATACTAACAATCAATGCAAATCCAAGGGCATCGCAATAAGTACCAGGCGAAGAAGAAGCGGATACCAGAACAGCAGCAAAAGCAGCATTAGCAGCCGCAGCACCACCAGGAGGAGGGGCAGCAGCAGCTGCACCGTCAGCAGGTGCAGCATTAGGAGCAGCAGCAGTAGCATCGGCAGCAGCAACAGAAGCACCGGCAGCAGCACGACTAGAATGCATGTTAGGAATCCTTACTTCTGCTTGACCGCTGGCAGGCCCTCCATCATGGTGGCAGCGAAAGGACTTCGAATAGCAGCGACATCTTCAGGAGACGGCCACCCAGTGACGGCCACAACTCTCTCTAGTTGATTTAAAGTAGAAGAACCTGCAGCAAAAACCAAAGAACAACGCCAATCGTGAACAGCTGTGCTGATGCACCTCGGCTTTCCTCAGCCTGAAAAGAGAATACAGGTTCGCGTTTATACCCGTCGAGTATGCTCTTTGCGGAGGCGAAACTGGAAGAGCATCCTGTTTAGGGTTAACAAGGGTCTGTGGAATGCAAGGGTTTAGGCTTTCTAAGGGAGTGCTCAGCTAAGGCTTTACTTAGGGTTTACAGCGAATAGAGTTTCCCTGCAAGGTTTCATTGAGGGTTTCCAGAGGTTTATTTAGTGCTTCCAAGGGTTTACTTTGGGTTTCCAAGGGCTTATTTAGGGTTTCGTAGGGACTAATTAGGGTTTCCAAGCGTTTAGAATTAATTGAGGTTCGTGGATGATGCCTACCTGGGAAGATGGGTTTTCCTGAAAGGAGTTCACCTAAGATACACCCCAGCGACCACATGTCTACTCCCTTGGTGTAGCAAGTAGACCCTAAAAGGATTTCTGGGGCTCTGTACCACCGCGTCGCTACGTAATCAGTCAACACTGGGTTGCTGCTCGCTTCTCCGCTTTCAGAGTGCGCCACAGAACGCGCTAGCCTGATGCACGAAGCAACTGACAAGCACAATTGACCTTATTTTCATCCCATATCAACATAAACATACCGTGGAACGCAATACACCCTAAACCCTAACCCTAAGCTACAAACTCCTCTACACCCTTCTCAGCCCTTATACACACACCCTTCTATACCCTTCTAAACAACACCCTGAGTAACACCCCATCAAATGACAGTCGGCTGGCCACAAGACGCAATCGACGGAATAGGGTAAAGCGCCCTCGAATGCAGGGACCTCTGCTCTTAATATCCTCTCTCTCTCTCTCGCTGTCTAGATAATATAATATATATATATATATATACATATATGTAATATATATCTATATATATTACATATATATGTATATAATATATATATGCGTGTGTGTACATGCCAATGCATGCACATATATGACATATTTCTGACATCGTGCTCATACATTCAGTATTTGTCCATATAAAAAATATATTTATAACAATAATAATACAATACTAATAAAGAAGGGATACAAAGATTCCTACACCGTTCTGCCTTACCCAAAGTCTGCAACCTTCACGTGGCATTCGCTGTTAAGGAGGATATTAGACGGCTTCATATCTCGATGCAGCAGCTCCCCTAAAACGCATGCAAAGGCAGTGTCTGGACGCGAGAATGAGACACAAAGAGCAGTATACTATTCATAAAATCAAGAGAAGAACAAACGGCAGCCAGAGAGGAGGCTATTGGGAAGACTGAAGGCGAAAAACAACGGTGAAGATGAAGTCAACAAAGCTACAAGTATGCAAACAGCAAAAAGAAACAAAAAAGCGAAACAAATGCGCTCGTGTACCTGAGTGCATGTACTTTATAGCCCGCAAAAGTTGGTAGACAATGTACTGCTTGTGAATCGCCTCCAATATCTGGGCCCGAATTACCGCATGCAGATCCGTCTCTACGGCAAAAATAAAGGAATAAAGAGCGCAAACTAAAACATATGCAATTACGAGGTAGGTAGATGTCCATACACCCCAACCAACACCTCGTCTCCCCGCCACTCCCTATCATCCCATTATCCCACCCCTCTGCGAAACCCTTTCAGAGAGAACTTCAAGAAAACAAGAATGCTATTTTGTTTCTTTTCTCATGTCCGATTGAGTCTTTGTGGTTTGTCGTGGGGTGTACAGACCCCGTGGCTAGACGGTGTGTTGCTTGCACATCCTACAAACAAATCGTTTGGTTTGGCTTTCTTCTGTCTGTCTGTGTCTACCTGTTCGTCTGTCTCACCCATGAAGTCAAACACCAGGTAGATGTCTCTGTCGTTGTCTGCCTTAAGAACATTCATCAGGCGTACGATGTTGTCGTGGCCTGCGAGTTGCTGCAAAAACATTATTTCGCGGAATGTACGCTGGGCGTCTGTGGCGTTGTGAAAGGCCTCAAAGATTTTCTTCAGCGCCACTACTTCATTTGTTCGTCTGTCATAGCTCTTCCACACCACTCCGTATGCCTGAAAATGCGGCAGATGCATGCAGAAGAACGAAAGCAAATATACTCATTTAAACCAACGCCAGAGAAGCAAAGGCAGCCCAGGACAACGCAACACCCCGAGAAAAACAAAGACTATTAGAATCATAACGCAAAAAACGTCAACATTGAATCCACCCTTGGGGATAAATGACAGAGAGAGAACTAAAATGCGTTAGCCATTCCTCGGCCCCCATCAGCAGGTAGACGCAGCTTTAACAGCTCAGGTAGGCTATGCAACTGCTGAGGTGTATGCACAGCGGAAGCGAGCTCACCCCCTTGCCCAGTTTCTGCACGATATCATATTTGCGGAGTACATGCTTGTCCACATCTTCAATCATTTTCAAATGACGCTGCGGCGGCACGCCAGGTGCAGCTGCAGCTGTAGGCAAGGAGTACTGGTTTACTGCCTCTGCAGCTGCAGCAGCAGCTGCTGCTGCTCAAGGCGAAGCTGCTGGAGTTCAAAAGAGAAGCGCTGGGCTCCTTCACCTCCCCTCTTTCGGAGTGATAGGGCAGGGAGGGGGCCGCAGTGCGGCTGCAGCAGCTCGGCCGGCGCTCAGCAGCAGCAGCAGCAGCAGCACCTGAAGGGTCGCTCTCCCTGCATGCGTTGCATGTGCCGTGTGCCGGGCTGTAGGTGTCTTAGTTTGCTGTTGTGGGGCCCCTGGGCCTGTTGCTGCCGCAGCTGCCGCTGCTGCGTTGGCTGTTGCTGTCACTGCAGCGGAAGTGCAGCGCGGGCTGCGTAGTGTGGCTGCTTCTCAGGAGCTTTTGCGTGTGTCATTAGAGTTATTTGTGCTGCTTGTAGCTGCAAAAGAAGAAGAGAGAAACAAGAAAGAACAGCAGCAGAGGCAGCAGCCGAGGCGGGCAGCTGAGTGGCCTCGGCAGTGCACAGGAGCGGCAGCGACACCGAAGAGGAGCAGCGGCTTGAGATTAGGTGTAAAGACAGAAGTAATTTCCCTGAATTTCGCTGTTTAACTTTGAAGAGGTAATATAATAAGCAAAGGATTTTAAGCCTTTATTCGAGATAAGCCACAGAGAGGGTCCTCAGCCTTTGTGTGGCTGCTGCAGCGGACAGCCGCAGCCGCAACCTTCTGCTGCTGCAGCCGAAGCTAGATGATGACTGCACGTTCTGTTCTTTTCTCCCCTAAAAGAATTCATTAATTAAATGTCTTTTATCTTTTTAATTCATTTATTTTGATCGCGCATACCTCGGGTTGCTGCAGTATTTTTCTGAAGCGACCTACAGCTTGCCGTTGCCGCTGCTGCTGCTGCTGCTGTTGCTGCTGGGCAAACCGACCGACCGCCGCTGGTCAACTCGCTCACCTGTCTCTACACCGCACCGCTATTTGATGATACCTGAGGTAAAACTTTCCACTTCTTCTTCACCTCCTCTCCTCAGCGGTTCCGAGAGTTGCTCATATATCGTTTGTCCCCACTTCTCTACCGTGCGCAGCGGGGCCTCACGAAAGAAGACAGGAAAGACGCTGCAGATGCGCAAAAGGAATATGCATATGACTCCCTGCATGCAATTGTGCATACATACCTGCATGTACTCCTGCATGTATGCCTGCATGCATGCAAATCTAAGCCGACCAAGGCAGACGGGGGCTGCCTGTGAGCCAGTGGCTGCCACACGTGTGAGCAAGGGGAATCGCACATTTGTGTTTGGGTTTGTTCATCTGCACTAACTGGAGATAACAGTAAATGAGTTTTAGAGGGGTTAGTTCCAGCTAGCTGAGTGCAGCTGCGCTGCCCGGCGGTGTCTACACCGTGAATCCGTGCATGTGTGCGACTTTCGCGAAAGTAATCAGCCAGTTACAGTTAATTTCCTCTGAATGTACACCTCAGTTCAGCAATAGAATGATCTGTATTTACGCTGCATTTACGCTGACTTTCCACTAGCTTGACATATAACGCAAACAAGACTTCCCTTAATTTCGGCATCACCTGCGCTCTCTAATGGAAATCGCAGCAAAAATGACGCTCTGGGAGCAGAGGAGTGAAATAAAGTGGCACAATAAAATAATTGTGCTTATATGGCCTTCGCTTTACCTTAACTGATGCATCTTGGTGGTCAGCACTCCTTAGCACTCCTTAGCAGGAGGTTGGTGGTTAGCACTCCTCCGGAGGAGGCCCTGTTGGTGTTTCTGTTTTCTTCACACAATATCAGTGTACCATTTCGTGTGCAAGGTTTGTGTTGTTCTCCAACGGATGAAGGAGAGGAGAATGATTTACCGAATAAACAGCAGGAAATCGTGCAGCCGGCTGCAGAGGGAGAGATGTATCCGTTTGCCGGGATGCTCCTAGGGCGGCACGCAAGTCAGTCATGTTGTCTGTCTGTGTACTCGCCTTAAGGGAGTTAACTATTAGTTTCACTCAGCTTTTATTCTCAGTTTATGCTGAGAAGGAAAAGGAACATATATACATAGTATAAACTCATACAGTATCCACCTGTGCAGGTAGTTTGCCACTAACCCGTGGTAATCAACGTGAACGTCTAGAAATGAGTGTATGCACACATAATCTTATCTATGTATATATATATATATATATATATATATATATATATATATACGTATATATGCACGCGTGCATGCGCTGTTCCTGGACAGCTTCCTTGATCTGTTGTCTGTTGTTCCCCCTATGTTGTACTTCTGAAGTGCATTGATTCAATCGTTTTAAATTTGTGTTTAGGGCGGCTTTAAAACGGAGAAAATAAATTATTTGCACGCAGCTGGTTTATTACCTGTCTCTACGCAATCTGCGGTGTAGGGGATTTTGCTTGGCTGTTGTTCAATGCCCAGAATCCCTGTCAAAAGACAATTAAGGTTGAAAAACGTAGTATGTTAGCAGAAACGAATTATTTATACTCGCTCCCCCTGCTTCAGATCTTGGCGAACAGGTCCGGTCTGGTTCAGCAGACCGGTGGTTCACTCAAATGCGAGTCCCGGCGCACTTGGACAATAGCGTCGTTGCCCTTTTCTCCCTTCTCGGAAATTGTCCAAGTTTCGGAGCTAATGAATTAACTTAATATAGTAATACCCATTATGTGGGGGGAGAAGGGGGGGCTGCCGTCACAGCATGCTGGCAACGGCGGGTGGCTGTGTTACAAGCCGCTGCGAGCTCACAACAAGACTACAGCTTTTCTGTTCGTAGGAATTGAATTCTAATTGGCCAACAAACAAACTAAAAAATAACATCTTTCTTTGAATAAGTATCACAGTATTTGCTTCTCCTCAGCAACCCCGATGGCCGTTACTGGCCTGCATTACGAGCGTGTCTAATGGCGCCTCCCCCCTGGCCAACGAGAAAATTGGCGTTGTATTGAACATCTGTGTTCTCGATCAAGACATTCGAAGGGAAGGCATAAATTTGAGGAGCCTCTGTTCTTTTTCTGCTTCCCACTATTTGGCACTCAGTTCCATTTCTTTGGTTCCCAGCTCCCACTGCAGTGTCTGAGGTGACCCGGGCATCCACTCCTACTTACAGCGCCAAAAACGTGAGAAAAACGTCTATTATATTACAAGCTTCATTGTCCTGGCAAAAAGGTCATGGGAGCTTCTGAGAAAAGCGAGAGGACCCACGTGGGGCGCATCCTCACCTCCCGTCGTCGCCATGGTTATTTCACCCTAGAGGAAATCGGCAGGAAAAAGACATACAGTAGCAGCAACAGCAGGGGCGGCAGTTCAGCTCAATCTGCATGTGCTACCCCGCTGGGGGTGGAGTTCACCTCTTTAGAGCTGCGACTGAAGCATGTTGCTGCTATAAAGAAGCTCAGTCAGACTCTGCGCCATCCCCTTCACCGTTTCTGGCCCCTTAAATACCCTGTGGTGATCGATGCAGATTTTCTCCCTCTGTATTTGCCGCACCATCTTGGGCCCTCAACGCCGAAAACCCCCGCCACAGTCTCCTCTTCTGGTGTGACAGCTTTCTCCAACCTGCGTTACAGGGCCCCCAACGCTCCTGCAGACAGCAGCAGCAGCAGCAACGGCAACGGCGGAGCCTGCGGCTGGGCAGAGAGGACCCGCATGCTGCCCTGGCGATGCGTGCCTGGTATACATCCCAAGGATGAGTTGAGTGTGTGGGCCGACATTCGTTGCTTGTTAATGCAGCTGCTCGTTCAGGGTTCTTTGATTTGGGTACCTGTGTTGCTGGTCTGGATATGGCGGCGTTACTGCACGACCCGTCGCCGCAAGATAATCTTTGTGGTCGTTGTTCTTTCGCTTATCTTCTTCCCCATTCGGCCTAACCGCCACATTCGCAAGTGGCACGGCTGGCGCAACATCCACCGTTACCACCGAACGGCTGCAATTGTCGAGGCATCTGAAATGTTTCCTCCTAGGCAACCCACCATCTTCACCATATTTCCCCACGGCGTTGTGCCTACTGCACCGGCAAGGAATAGTTAATGAGCAAAGCCTTAATAATAATTTTAAAAATGCACTCACTTACGTTGCTGTAATTAAGTGGCGCCAATTTAAACAATAAAAGGACAGGAAACAAGCTTGCCATCGCTTTATGAGTGACCCGTAAACCCGCAATCGTCTGTTTTTTTTGTTTCTGCGTCGATTTGGTTTGGTACGATGCCAAGGTGGACTGTGATGATCTGCTTCTGCGCTGCTGATGATGATATTTCTGGGTATCCTCTGCATTTGTGTAGCGCCTTTTCACGATAATTTCGTTGAAGATGTGTTGTTATCAGCTGCTTTCGTGAGGTGTCCTTGGCGGCCGCCGCGTTGTTTCCTCCTCCTGTGCAGGCCGTGATGGCGACGGGGCAGTTCGGAGATATCCTGGGCCATTTTCGCTTGACAGCGGCCTCAGTGGTTCGTTGGTGTTTAATATATGGCCAGTTGATCTTTTTATCCGATGCGATTTCTGCAGACAAGTCCGTCAGAGTTGATAGCAGAAAGCTGCGGCAGAGGCAGCTGCGGCGGCATTAGGTCAATGAGGAATGCAATGTTGGTTTTGTTGTTTTCCATTACCGCAAAATAATCATAATTGTTATTCTTGTTGTTCTTTTCTGATTTTCAGAAAATCCATGAAAGAGAGTCTCGAAAAAGGATCCAGCCTTCTCGTCTCCCCCGGCGGTATTGCAGAAATATACGAAACGAATTCTTCAGAGGTATCGACTGAGCATTCCTTCTGTTAAATCAAAACTGTTATGACTTCACTGGAAATCATAGTCGTGTATAGATACTTTACACTTTAGCAGGAAACAAAAGAGGTAATTCACATGTGTATCTGGCGGTAGACCGGTAGACAGAGACCACAGTGCATTTGAATGCTCTCAAACGGAAAATCAGTTATACAATAAATGCACAAGATTGCATTTTAAATAGATACATGTCGTGCGCGCGGCGTCTTCCTACTCTATCTGTGATCAAACCGGAATTCAGCCTTTTAAATGAATGCACTAGATTATTTCCTAAACGTATTTCTGTTGCGCATACGACGGCTTTCGCAACAAACAGGAACGTCTCCACCTGCAAGACCGTCTTGGGGTTGTGCGGCTTGCGATGCAAACGGGGGCCCGGCTTGTTCCTGTTTATTGCTTTGGAAATAGCCAAGCGTACCGTCTGCCTTGGGGAGTCCGCTTCTTGCAGCCATTCGCTAGGTAAGCAGCTACGTCCTCAGCTTGAACCTGTCGCATAAATATATATATATATATATATATATAT